CTGACGGTACCATGGACTGCTAAGAAATCAGATTCATCCTGAAGAGGGTTAAACGGGTCTGCTCCTTGGAGGCAAGGATTCTGAGGCTTCGTCTGACATACTTTGATCATGTAAGGAAGACGGGTCCTTGGAGAAGGACATCATGCTTTGGAGGGTGGAGGACACGCACAGGAGGGGAAGGCCCTCTGGGAGATGGACTGATTTGGTGACTGGGGCAATCGGGAAGAGTGTTGTAAGGAGTGACCTGTCCTTGGAGTAGGACATCATGCCTGGGAGAGTGGAGGGCAGGCGCAGGAGGGGAAGGCCCTGTAGGAAATGGATTGATTCGGTGACTGGGGTAATCAGGATGAGTGTGTCAGAGATAATGAGGTTGGCACAGAACAGAGCAGAGTTTAGAGCTGTTGTACATAGTGTCGCTATGAGTCGCAAGCAACTCGATGGCACATAACATTAGTTTGGAATTATTCTGAATCTAACAGTGAGAGAAAAATTCAGTGATAAGTTTGACCATCCTTCTAGAATATGGAGTCATTTTCCTGAAGAGTAATGATTTTAAGACTAAGTGTGATGCTGAAAGGAAACAGATCTATGTCAATGGTTCTAAAGTATTAAAGCTGGAAAAGGACAACACATAATTGGTAAAAAAAGTATTAACAGATAGATACTAAACAATGTCACAAATAAAAACTCATTTTTTATTATTTCATAATTTTTTTAAACAAACTGTAAGATTAAGAAAAAAATATTAACATCTAAGTAGAATAGAGTCTGGCACACTATTTAAGTGCTTCACTACTAACTGTAAAGCTGAGGGTTTGAACTCACCAGCCATTCCGTAGGAGAAGAGACCTAGAAATCTGCTCTTGTAAATAGTACATCCCAGAAAGTGACATGGGACAGTCTACTCAGTGCTGTAAAGTTGTTTTCCGCTAAAACTGACTCAATGGCACAAAACAACAAAACATCATCACAAGTCATCACAAAGGCACCCGAGTGCCTAGTATTAAACTAAGGTCATTCAATGACCTTAGTTGAAGATTATTCAATGACCTTGATTAGAACACATTTCCTCTAATTCTTTTTCCTTAAATTAGTAAATAATTATAGAATTGTTAATGATTATCAAATGAAGTAATTCATACACTCCAAAACCCCCTACCGTAATACTAAAATTGAGTAAAAAATTAAGTAAAGGGAAAAACAAAGTGCTCATTATATATTTTTCAAAAGGTAGAAATGGTTTTAGCACAACCATTGACATATCCTGGGAAAAGGGTCTTCTGGCTAACTGACATGACTTATGTATAAAGAACTAATTAATTACCAGATATCTTCATTACTCTGAAAAAAATAACAGGTTATCTCAACATCAAGAAGACAAAGATTCTCACAACTGGGCATATAGGCAGCACCATGATAGAGAAAAGACAGGTTGTTGACAAATTTACATTCGTGGCACCAGCAGTCAGGAAATCATTGGGAAAATCTGCCGTCAGGGATATCTCCAGATTACTGAAAATTAACGTGGGTCAGTCTACAGACTAGGGTGTGTGTAATCCAAGCCATGGGTTTTGCAATTACTTGTGATGCATCAGAGAGCTGGACAATGACTAAGGATAACAGAAAAAGAATCAATGCCCTCGAATTGTGGTGCTGGAGAAGAGTCTTGAACCTACCATGGACTGACAAGAAAACAAATAGGTCTGTCTTAGAGAGGTGAAACCAATTTTCTCCTTGGAGGCTTGGATTCTGAAGCTCTGTATCACATACTTTGGGCACATGGCCAGGAGGGACCAGCCCTTGGAGAATGACATCATTCTTGGAAGGATGCAGGGAGAGTGAAGGAGAGAAGATTCCAGATGAGATAGATTGATACAGTAAACTGTGGTGTTGAGGGTTTGAGTCTCAGAATCAGTGAGACTGGCTCAGGACATTGCAAGGTTTAGAGCTGCTGTACATAGGTTTGCTGTGGGTCTCAGATTATTTGATTGCACATAACAACAACAAAAACAACACAAAAAGGTAAACAGGGACACTGAAATCCTCCTGACTCCTCACTAACGTGATGGTAAGGAAATTAAGAAAGTATAAACTGACAAGGTAAACAGAATGAGACTTAGAAATAATTTAATGGCTCAAAATATGTTTTCAGAAGTTGAGAAATAAAAAAACAGCTCACTGCTGTTGAGCTGGAACTGATCCTTCCAACATGCTTTCAATTGTTGTAATTCAGACTGTAATTGCTCTAAGGAGACTTCCCATCTTTACCCACTAAGCAGCTGTGTAAATCTGAACCACATGCCTTTAAGGTAGCAGTAAGCTTCTTGCCCATTAAGCCATCAAAGAGTGGGAGATGACTTATTTAAGATTTTATTTTCCTCATTATTTATATATATAATTTACATAGACAGATAAGTATGACTTGATTCTGTCATTTTAACTATTTCCCTTATATTACAGAGAAAGAGGCTCTTCTCACCAACTTCTAATATAACTGATTTTACATACTTCTTTTGAGTTCCTGGACAGACAAAACGGTTAATGCTAAACGTCTTCATCAGTTAATTAAAAGGTAGGGAAGTTTAAATCAACTCAAATAAGTCTCAGAAAAAAGTCTGGTGATCTACTTCTGGAAAACCAGCCACTGCAAGCTCTACGAAGCACAGTTCTACTATAACACAGGGGGAACAAGGAGCTCAATAGCAAGTGGATGGTTTATACCATATTTGTTTAAATTAGTAGTATTAATGTTATTATGACCACAGAAATTTAGTAGTAGTGTTTTGATTCTTTTACCATTTTTGTTCTTCTATTCAAACTTGCCAAAAGAAATGTAAAAATCAACATTATTTTGGCATGATAAACAGCATGAGATAGTTAACTGCTTTTCTTATAACCATGTCTTCTACATTGACCTCAAATATCTGCTACCTAAAACTGCTAGCTAACTCTTTCTGTTACTTATTTAAGCCTGTTTGGGAAATTTCTTTTTCTAAAAACATTTCATTTTTCAAATCTGTCCACTGTATTCTTCAGTAAGTTTCTAAATTTCCATAATATCCTTTTTATACTAATATTGTTTATATTTTTGCTTTTTCTTTTTTGTTTTTTTTTTAAAATTAATTTTAATGAAAGTTTACAGAGACTTAGGGTTTCCAGTCATTCATTGTTGCACTTTTCTCATACCCACCCACTGCTCCCAGTTCACTCTTCTCCTTAAAAAGGAAAAAAAAAAACCAAAAAACACCTCTTTCATTGTTATGCAATCCCTCCCCTCTCACATCCACTCCACTATGCAGCCATCACTCTGGACTTTTGTAATGACAAGAATACCCATTCATATATCCCTTTTAAACAGTTCTCTCCCTCATCTGTTTCAATGCAAGATACATCATTCCTCCCCTCCTTTTCTGTCTTCCCTCAACCCCGATGTCAGTCCTGATTTAAAACAGTGGACCTATGCAATATTTGTCCTTTTGTGACTGAGATATTTCACTCAGCATAATGTCCTCCAGAACCATCTATTTTGTGCATAATATTTCATGAGTTCCTTGTTTCTCAATGCTGCATAGTATTCTATTGTGTGAATATACCACAGCTTCTCTATCCATTAATTTGTTGATGGGCACTTGGGTTGTTTCCAGCTCTTTGCTATTGCGAACAAATCTGCAATAAACATGGGTGTGCATATATCTACTTGGGTGGCAGTTACGGTTTCTCTGGGGTAAATTTCCAGTAGTGGAATTGCTGGGTCAAATGGTATTTCTATTTGTAACTTTTTGAAAGTTTTTCAAAGCCTTCCATAGTGGTTGCACCATTTTACACTCCCACCAACAGTGAATAAGGGTTCCAGTTTCTCCGCAACCTCTCCAGCATTTGATGTTCGCTGTTCTGTTGAATTTTGCTATTCTTACTGGGGTGAGATGATATCTCATAGTTGTTTTGTTTTTTGTTGTTTTTTTTTTTACGTCATCTTCCTTATTAGATACTGTACTTTGCTTTCTAAGAACCAGCTTTTGGCAAACTAAACTTCTATAAAGCAGATAGCTTGCACAGTGAACACCAAGTGTTCTTTATAGTTCCCTTGGCTTTGGCTCTGTACTAGAGCAATAGCTGTTCTTTTCCTCTGCACTGAAAGGCCTATTTATCCTTTTAAATGTATCTCATTGGAGTTCTGAGGCTGTAAATCTTTACGTGAAGAGACTACCCGTCTTTCTTCCTTTGATCCTCTGGTACACTCAAAGAGTTGATCTTTCAATTAACAGCACAAGTACACCAGAGCTCCTACTATACACCAAAAACAGCAGCCATACCTACTGCCATTGAATTCAGTTACTGAGAGTATCAAATTTACAAGGTTGTAGGAGACTGGCTTATCTTTCTCCCAAAGAGTAGTTGATGCATTTGAACTGCTGACCTTCCAATCAGCAACTTGAAACGTTACGTATTTCACCAGGAGGGCTCCTTTAATAACTATCAAAACTCTCACTGATGTTGAGTCAATGCTTATTCAAAGCAACCTTCCATCCAGTTTCCCAGGTGTCAATACTAATGGGAAAAGTCTGCCCATTTTTCATCCATGGAAAGACTGGGAGATTTGAACTGCCACAGATAGTTTTTGTAGTTAGCTATGTGGTGCTATGCAGACTATAATGAAATATATTTCCCTTTATCTCCAGGGAGCTCTGGTGATTAAAGGTAAAGAATTTTGCTGCCAACACGAAAGTACACAAGTTTGAATCCATCAGCTGACCCAAGGGAGAAAGATGAACAATCTCCTTCTGTGAAATTGTACTGCCTCTGAAAGCCTGCTGGAGGGTCAGCTATTGGTTGGTTCCAAAATCAATGGTACTCAATGGTACAACAATAACAACAACAACCACCTTATTTCCATTCTTTCTATGCTCTCGGAGAACCAAAAATTGTGGCAATATCTAAACCAACCCAAAGTTATGAGTAAGATGTTTTCATTGATGAAAAATTAATTTCAAAACTCTTACCATCATGAATTTCGTAAGCCAAACTAGTGATCTTCTGCGTAATTACCATCATTGGGCTGTCACAAAATAAAAAAAAAAGTAAAAAAAAAGTATTGAAAGTAGTTGAAAACAATCAGGGTTAGTCTACTTTGCTTATATAGCTAGAATATATTGACATTTTTAATTTAAAAGGACATCCAAGGGATGTCAAAGAACTAACTCATTAGTGTTTAGGGGGAAGGTCTCACAGATAGGGAATCTGGGTCTTCCCTTTGCTTTAAGAAGATGGGGGTGGGGGGTGGGGAAACTATTTAGAAAGGAAATCATGTTAGACTGTGATCTAGTCCATGCTCGTCATTTTATGTTGTACAAGTGAAACCCTGATGTTAGAAGATCACAAAGTACATGAGAAATGAGATTGTGGTTTCCAGATTTTTCCTTTCTTCAACGAATCATGCTGCCCTGTGCAATAAAGGTGAAAGTTGCCTGGGAAGAGGAGGGAAAGGTGGAAAAAGAAAGATGTTTGTCTGAGAAAAAGAGAACAAAGCTGAATTTAAGTAATGGGCAGGCAGGAAGAAAAGACTTACATTTCTACAACAAGAATTAGACTTATAGTTCAGAACTGGGTGGTCAAACTTGATGGGTCTATGTGTGTAAACTAAGGGATATTTTAAAGAAAAGAGGATTTTCAAATCATGTTACAAGTAAGAACAGGGCAATATTTTCTCATGTTTTAAAATCTCTAATTAGACAAATACTTCAAAGTGAAAAAGAAAAGCATCTGCATATGAAAACTATTGTTGTTATTGTTAAGGGCTGTTGAGTTGACTATGATTCATGATGACCCTATGAATGACGGAATCTGAACCTTGTCCTGTCCTGTACCATCCTCATCATCTCTGATATGCTCAAGCTCATTGGTACGGGCACTGTGTTGATCATCTTGTTGAGGGTTTTCCTCTATTTCTCTGACTCTCCACCTTTTCAAGCATGATGTCTTTGTCCAAGGACTGGCCCCTCCTAACATGCCCAAAGTTATGTGAGATGAAACTTCACCATCCTTGCCTCTAAGAAGCATGCTGGCTGCATCTTCTCTAAGACATATTTGTTAACTTTAGGCAGTTCACGGGATACTCAGCACTATTCTCTAACGGCACAACTCAATAATTCTTCCATCATTCTTATTCACTGTCCAATTTTCAGATGCACTGGAAATAATTACACTAGCTTACAGCTATTAATGTTACAGAGCAAATAACTGAGCTATTTAATTATTCAAAATCCACCTCAAACTCACTGTTATATAGAGTCAGAACAATGCACAGTGAATATCCTGGAGCAAGTTTTCAAAGGTTTTAAACTACACAGAGAGAGAGAGTGCTTATTTTTCTCCTGAGGGGATACTGGTAGACTTCAAACACCTGAGAAGCACCACCTTTGGGCTAGTAGCATGTCTTTCTAAGTACTATGCAAAAGCTAGGTAAGTCATGTTATGCTTAGAGACAAAATGCAAACTCTAAAAGCATTAGACAACTCCTTGAACAATGGAATGGAACATGCACATTCTTACTATACAGATAAGGAAACTCTTTCAGAAAGGTCAGTAACATAATTAGAGACCAGCAGGTCAGAGGTTCAAAGCCTAACTTGTCAAGTTCTCATTTTGTGCCTTGCCACCAATAAATTGTTCAGAGGTTGAGATTAGTATCAACTGTCCATTTGTTAAAGCATAAGGCATCTTTAAATACATAAAGGAATACAAGTCATCCATTGTCAAGATATGGCATATGGATAAATCAAGGAACATTTTAAAGAAAACAGTAATATTTTCTCATATTTTAAACCTGTAACTGAATGGATAACTTAGAAAGGAGAAAAATGCATCTACATAAGAAAAACGAGATATTTTAAAATATTCATACTGCTAGAAATTTGATTCACAGATAGAGCCTTTAAGATAGTTCATTCTCCTCATTCTAACAGACAAGATCTCTAAAATATTGTCGGATAATTATTCTTAAGCTCAGTTACTTCTTAGACGCTTTTAAAATCAATTCTTACATTATACCCCTCACTTTCAGAAAATGACTTCACAGCCAACCTAATCCCTCTGGTTGCTTTGAAGACTATCGACTTGCAGTTCCCATTTGGCAAGATACCCGTCATGCCTTTGAGGATTTTAAAAATGCCCTACAAGTAATTTTTATTTCCCTGAGAAAAAGAATCTTACTTTTTCTTACTTTGTTTCACAAATTTCAAATTTACCTCTCTAGTGAAGTATAAAGCTTTAGTTCTAAATTATAATTCTTACATTGCCTAAAAAAAATCTTTAAAAATTATTGAAATGTCTTCAACAAATGGTGCTGGCAAAACTGGACTGCTACCTGCTGAAGCAGGATACACACCTCACACCATACACAAAAATCAACTCAGGGGTAAAGCCCAAAACCATAAAGATCTAAGAGACAAAATGGAACCAAACTTAGAAGTCCTAATGTCTGGCATAAATAGGCCTGCAAATATAGCCAGGAATGTGAAACCAGAAAAGGAGAGAATTGATGAATGTTGTTGTTGTTGTTGTTAGGTGCTGTATAGTTAAGTACAACCCAAAGTGACACTGAACAATAAATCTGAACCTGTTATATCCTGTGGTATTCTCACATTTCATAACATAGTAGAGCCCATTGTCAATCCACCTGATTAAGGGTCGTCTTCTCCCTTGTCAACTCTCTGCCTTTACACACATGATGTCCCTCTCTAAAGAATAGTTGCTCCTAGCAACATGCTCAAATCGTCTGGTGAGCCAACGGGGTGAGATGGAGTGACTGAATTAGGAAAGATGCTATGGGGACCAGAAAAGACGGGGTAATAGTAGGCACTGATCAATGGTGATTAATTTTATAAAACACAATATACATACATGATAGTCTGAAACAAAATGTGAATGTAGGAAAGTGTGAAATGCAATGTATATGAATGCTACATAATGGATATGAATTTTGTATTGAAAACAGTATAAAATAAAAATAAAATCGAGAGAGAGAATACTGAAATCATTTCATCAACTCAAGACTAACCTTTTGGGTGTATATGTGTGTACTTTAAAAATACAAATATGTGAAGTTTTCTTATAAAAACAGATGTAACACATTTGCCTTTTCAACATTTTTCAGGTGTATAACTTAGTGATGCCAATTACATTAATTATAGGTCTGTCTTGCAGAAGGTTAAACCAAGTCTCTCTTCAGAGGCTAGGATTTTGAAGCTTTGCCTCACATACTTTGGGCACCTGGCCAGGAGAGACTGATCCTTGGACAAGGATCATGATGCTCAGAGTGGTAAAGGGAAAGCACAGGAGAGTAAGACTCCGATGAGAAGGATTGACTCAGTGACTGGGACAACAGGAGTTGGTGTGTCAGAACAAGTGAGACGGGCTCAGGACAGGGAGGGGTTCAGAGCTGCTGTACACAGGGTTGCTATACATCGCAGGTGACTCTGACACACAACAACAAGAAACAACAAATTATATTGGTTGGGTTTTTTTTTTTAATTTAAGCATCTCATTTAGAGTCAACAAGACCTTATGGATGGCCTTTGTATTTAAAAGTCAGTTATTATATTTCAGAGGAACAATCTTCTAAGTGATACAGCACTCTCCTGTCAATGTGCTGTACTGAGGTAACCTGGCGTTGCTGTGATGCTGAATCTTATGCCACTGGGGTGGTCAAATGCTCTAAAGGTTACCCATGGTGGACAGTGTTTGGTGGAGCTCCCAGTTTAAGATCGGTTTGGAAGCAGGTGTGGCATCCACTTCCTGCCTCTGGAAACTCTATGAACTATGAGAAATGACAGTAAGTTACTGAAAGGCTTCAGGTCTTTTGTTCATAGAGTTGCTCTGAGTCATGCACAACTTGATGGAGTCAGTGTCCATAGTTGATGTCAAATGACTAATAAACTTTTCTCTCTCTTAAAAAAAATCTCTATTGTTGCTTAATTGGAACTGATTTATAGCTGACTCAGAAAATCTTTAGAGGCTATAAAGCAGTTGGTGTACTTGAACCTTTTTGTTTTAGCTTGGCAGCACAACTCTTTACTCAGTAGGCCACCAGAAATCCCTTGTTCTCCATGCATAAGTCTATTTTGTTCATTTCATATAAGTGAATTCATACAATATTTGTCCTGCTGTCACTGGCTTTTTAAATAAGCATAATGTTTTAAATTTCCAAAACATGCTGTGGAGGGAAGGACTTCGCTCTTCTTTAAGTCTGAATGGGAGCTCATTAAGGGAGCTCTAGCAGCTTAGTGCGTCAGGAGTTAAACTACCAACTCAAAGGCTGGTGGTTAAAATCCATCAGCTACTCCTCGGGAAATTGATGGGTAATCTTCTTGTCTATGATTTATAGACCTGCACACTTACTGGACAGTGAACTATGAGTCAACTTCAAATTGATGGCAATTAATGAGTGAGTGAGTCTCACTGTATTGTATTAATCACATTTTTCTTATCTATTAATCTGTTGACAGACACTGCAGAGCAACTGTTGTTCCCATTTGGCTAGTGTGAACAGTACTGTAATGAATGAAGATGATGTGCTTGAATCCACATCATGATCTTCAAATTAAATGCAAGTTTTGTGAATGAATGTCTGTTATTTGTGTCCTTCTATTCTCATGTAATTTCTATTGTACCAGGTGTTCAAGAATGCAAGATCTCTTATCAAAGCAAGATGGACTAGAAGAATGGGTGATATATTGCTCAATGGCTGATCTCAAGAATCATGCTCTCTAAGAAGTATGGGGGGTGAAAAACGTTATAGGCATAGTATGGAGCTCTGGTGGCTTTGTGGTAAGGAGTTGTGAAGCCAACTCAAACACGTACAATGAAAATCCGATCAGCGACTCTGAGCGATTAACAACCTCTGAAAACCTGCCAGAGGTTCAACTATGAGTTCTGACTTGATGATGATGTTGTTATGTGCTATCAAGTCGCCTGTACTTCATAATAACCCTGTGTACAACGGTGCTGAACCCTGCTCTATCCTGAACCAACCTTATTGTCTCTGACACACCTACCCCT